TGGTATGTGCTTGTTATCCCAGCTACTTGGGAGGCTGAGACACTAGAATCCCTTGAACCAGGGAGGCAGAGGTTGCAGTGAGCTGAGATTGCGCCACTGCACTCCTGCCTAGGCAACACAGCAAGATTCTGTCTCCAAAAAAAAAAGTAGGATAATAATTCCTAGTATGATTTTTTTTCATAGTGTTAGTGATAATCAAAGTTTGTTCAGCAAATAAAAATGATTTGAAAACATAACGATAAAACTTTTATAAATAAAAATAATAAATATTGGTATATATTTTTCACTCATAAAAATTAAGATCAATGTGAACACATTTTGTTTATGTTTATTTTTTATTTTTTTGAGGTGGAGTTTCATTCTTGTTGCCCAGGCTGGAGTGTGACGGTGCAATCTCGGCTCACTGCAACCTCTACCTCCCAGGTTCAAGCAATCCTCCTGCCTCAGCCTCCCAAGTAGCTGGGGTCACAGGTGCCTACCACCACATCCAGCTAATTTATTGTATTTTTAGTAGAGACGAGGTTTCACCATGTTGGCCAGGCTGGTCTCAAACTCCTGACTTCAGGTAATCCACCCACCTCGGCCCCACAAAGTGCTGGAATTACAGGCGTGAGCCACCACGCCCAGCTATTTTTTTTTTTTTTTTTTTGAGGGGGTCTCACTCTATCGCCCAGGCCAGAGTGCAGTGGCACAATCTCAGCTCACCACAACCTCCACCTCCTGGATTCAAGCCATTCTCCTGCCTCAGCCATCCTCGTAGCTGGGATTAGAGGCATGGGTCACCACACCCGGCTAATTTTTGTACTTTTAGTAGAGACAGAGTTTCACCATGTTGGCCAGGCTGGTCTTGAACTCCTGACCTCAGGTGATCTGCTCGCCTGAGCCTCCCAAAGTGCTAGGATTACAGATGTCAGCCACCGCACCTAGCCAATATGAACACATTTCAGTGTGTGTAAAGATGTATATACATTTTTATGTATTATAATATACAATCTATATGTAATATTTATAATATTCTTATGTTATATAGTTGTATAGACATGTCTGGCTTTAGAGTTTATCATTTTGTTCCCATTTTCTATATTCAAGTGTCTAAGAGATAGACCTCATTGTATATTCCAGAGAAATTTACAATCTTTATAACTGGAAACCACACTTTAAGAACTACTAAATTAGACTGCCTCCCTAGAAGGAAGCATTTGTTATTGTTTGCTCCATCACCTCATTTTCTTAAGCTAGAACTCATCTATTAAGTTCCCACCTAAACAAGTGATTAATCTGTTATCTTCTGACTAGAATCAAGATGTTAACAAAAACCTTTACTCCCTCAAAATTAGGGCCCCACTTCTTCAAAACTATATGTCAACTTTGAATTTAATGAACTTAGTAATGGGTTTTTTAAAAAGTGTACTTTTAAATGTGAAAATTTAGCTGACTAAAACTAACATAGGAAAAGAAAACCAAGCACCACATGTTCTTATTTGTAAGTGGGAGCTGAACAATGGAACAATGAGAACGCAGGTCAGAGGGAGAGCATCAGGACAAATAGCTAATGCATGCGGGGCTTAATACCTAGGTGGGTTGATAGGTGCAGCAAACCACCATGGCACATGTTTACCTAAGTAAGAAACCTGCACATCCTGCGCATGTATCCCAGAACTTAAAATAAATTAAAATTTAAAACGTTACCTGACTAAACAATGTACATTTATAGGTAATTCGCTGGGAATTTCCTACTAAGGAGGGACATTAGAAGACCTGGTACAGCTGATGAAATACTGAAAATCTTCATACTATGTAGAAAGCTTAGATTCATTCCCGTGTAGGTGACAGTTGAAGTTTTATTATTCTTACTTGTTGATGTTTCATGTCTTTATACCTATTTTCCCAAGTAGATTTTAAATCCTTTCAGAGTGGGAAATAAACCTTGAACTTCTTTAGCACTCTTATTTCACAAATGAAGAACTGCAGCCAAGAGAAAGGAAGTGAAATATCTGAGGTCACAGAGCAAGTTCATGATAGAGTAAGGACTTCTTTTCACTGTTTAGTATGCTTATCATGGTGTCTCATCAAAAGGCACAAAATCAGTTCATGAGTTTGATGGAGACATGCCTTTCACCTTTGCCCCCACCTCTTTCTGTTTCTTTTGTCAGACCTACGGGGCAGATAGGGGGAAGAAAATTTCTTAGAAAAAAATAATAAATGAAAAAGTAGAGGAAAAAGGAAAACAATTGCAGTCTATCAAATGTGATCAAATGAGCTAGGCATTAGCCTAGTGTGTCAGGAATTAATCATTTAAATTCAAACTCTTCGTCAAGTGCTTCTCTTGATCTACACTACTGGGGTAGGAATATGGAGAACAAAAGGCAGAGACAGATGAGAGGACTAGCACTTTTGCCACATAAGTGCTAGGAGAAAGCTGTGGTTTGGCATTCTTATTAGATGGCAGTAATATGCTAAGTCAAGTCTGGAAAACACTGCCAGCCAGCATTTTTCTCTAATGAGAAAAATAAGGCTTAGTTATAACAAGATGATAAATGAGAAAATGCTTTGTTCTTAGACAGCTGATATCTCTTAATCCTAAAATTCAATAGTCTGTTTTTAATGATCAGTGAATTGATTGAAAAGAAATTACAGAAGTTTATAGTCATTTTTACATACTGTATTTTATAATCTGAGGTCACTGTTCACCCCTATACATACAATTCTAGAGACAAAAGTGTTAAGTACTATGGAAGCAGAAGAGAGATAAATGCCTGGCAAATGTAATTCTGCCTAGCCTTTTTCTCTTTACCTATATAAGTTTTACATATATATTGACTTCTCCTCCAGAGAAAGCAGCTAGCTCAATAATAATAGGGGCTCTGTGGTATAAGTAAACAATGATATATGATTTTTTAAAAATAGATTCAGGGGGTTTCAGGTGCAAGTTTGTTACATATTGTGTGATGGTGAGGTTTTGGCTTCTAGTGTGCCCATCACCTGAATAGTGAATATTGTACCTAATAAATAATTTCTCTGCCCTCACCCCTCCCAACCCTACCCCTTTTGGAGTCCACAGTGTCTGTTATTTCCCTCTGTATATACATGTGTACCTATTATTTAGCTCTCACTTATAAGTGAGAACATGTGGTATTTGATTTTCTGTTTCTGAGTTCTTTCACTTAGGATACTGGCCTCCAGCTCCATCCATGTTACTGCAAAAGACATGCTATCAGTGAATGATTTTTGTATGAATAACAGACAGGATTGATGAGGTTGGAGATTACTAATTTAAGAGGGTATATTGCACATTAAGAGGCAACCCACAGTCTAATGTAAATGTGTTTTTTAAACATACATTTAAAAAAAATGTTGGAACCAATATTTACATATTGAGAAATTTTACATTACAAATTCAGACTTTTGGAAAATCAGGAAATCTAGACCACATCCAGCAAGACAAAATATGGTTGCTCTTACTTAAAAAAGAGACTGAGGCTGGGCACGGTGGTCCACACCTGTAATCCCATCTCTTTGGGAGGCCAAGGCAAGCAGATCAGCCTGGGCAACATAATGAGACCCCATCTCTACAAAAAAAAAAAAAAAATACAAAAATTAGCCAGGTGTGGTGGTGTGGGCCTATATATAGTCCCAGCTACTTGGAAGGCTGAGACAAGAGGATCACTTGACCCTGGGAGGTAAAGGCTGCAGTGAGCTAAGATCGCACCACTGCATTCCAGCCTGGTCACTAGAGCAAGATCCTGTCTCAAAAATTAAAAATAAATAAAAGAGAGACTGAGTGTTTGGTCTTCATTCATTAATGTACTCTTCATTTAACCAATATTTTTCTAGTGCCTATTATGTGCCAGGTGTTAATCTAGGTTTTGAGAATACAGGAGTGAACCAAACAGCCAAAACTTCTACCTTTTTCATTGTATCAGGGAGACAGACAATAAATAAGATAAATAAGTAAAATATCTGTTAGTGATAAGTGCTGAGGTAAAAACAATGAAGCAGAGAAGGGGGATATGAAGTTCATGTGCATTGGAAGTGGAATCGAAATTTTAGAAAAGGACCTGACTGAGAGGGTAAATTTTGAGTAAAGACCTAAAGGAAGTCACAGAGCTTGCCATTCAAGAATCTGAAGGAAAGGAATTCTAAGCAGGTAGAAAGGACCTGAGGTTGGAGCATGTCTGCCATATTTGAAGAAGAGCAAGGAGGCTGCTATGTATTGCTTTGCTTTTCTTTTTTCTTTTTGAGACAGTTTCGCTCTGTCACCCAGGCTGGAGTACAGTGGTGCAATCATAGCTTGCTGCAACCTTGACCTTCTGGGCTCAAGCAGTCTTCCTACCTCAGCCTTCTGAGTATCCGGGACTACAGGCACATGCCACCATGCCCAGCTCATTTAAATTTTTTTCTTTTTTTTTTTGGTAGAGACAGGGTCTCTTGCTTTGTTGCTCACTATCAAGCTGGTCTTGAACTCGTGGGCTCAAGTGATTCCCCAGCTATGGCCTCCCAAAGTGCTGGGATTATGGGTGTGAACCACTATGCCAAGCCTGTTTTTCTTATAGCAGATAAATATTTCTGTTCCTATGTCGAAAGTGAGTAAAGACTAAGAAGTCTTCATGCTTCAAGAACAGAGAAAGCATATCTCTTTAGTAAATAATGCATATTCCTAGACAAAGTGTATCTCTGTAGAAAGGAATCATTCTAAACACAATTATGAAACAAAATGGTGACAGCTATGACTAGTATACAGAAAAAATGCCTGAGGAAAAATTTAATGAATGCAAAGTAGGGTTAATATTTCAAAAGGCTTTATTTTCACATGTACATGGTATGATGCTGCTGTAATGTATTCAATGGAATTTTTTTTTTTTTTTGAGACCGAGTCTCACTCTGTCTCCCAGGCTGGAGTGCAATGGTGCGATCTTGGCTCACTACAGCCTCCGTCTCCCGGGTTCAAGTGATTCTCCTGCCTCAGCCTCCCAAGTAGCTGGGATTACAGGTGCCTGCCATCAACCACACCCAGCTAATTTTTGTATTTTTAGTACAGACGGGGTTTCTCCAGGTTGGCCAGGCTGGTCTTGAACTCCTGACCTCAGGTGATCCACCCATCTCGGCCTCCCAAAGTGCTGGGATTACAGGCGTGAGCCACCCCGCCCAGTCCAAAAATTTTCTCATATATCAAAACCTTTTACAGGTTTGAGTTTATAAAATAGTGTCCATAAGTACATTAAGAATTATTGTTTTAAGGCTGGGTGCAGTGTCTCATGCCTTTAATCCCAACATTTTGGAAGGCCAAGGTGGGCAGATCACTTGAGGTTAGAAGTTTGAGACCAGCCTGGCCAACACGGTGAAATCCCATCTCTGCTAAAAATACAAAAATTAACTGGGCATTGTGGCAGACACCTGTAATCCCAGCTACTCAGGAGGCTGAGTCAGGAGAACAGCTTGAGCCTGGGAGGCAGAGTTTGCAGTGAACTGAGATCGCGCCAGTGCACTCCAGCCTGAGCAACAGAAGAAGACTTCATCTCCACAAAACAAGCAAACAAAAAATTACTATTTTGAATAAGTAAAGGCAGTTACATATGTGCAGGTATCTAGGTAAGATGGAGAACTTACAGGACAGGTTATAAGAAAATGTTAATCATTTGTGATATTTTTTGTTGCAATTGATAAAAACACATATAAATAACAATGAAACCTTTATTATGTGGAGATAGGTTCTAAAGTCAGCACATAAGGTGAAGATCTGGGATGGTCAAAATTACTCTTGAAAAATCCCTTAGAAAGGTACAGCAAACCTCTCATTCGTTAAGTCCATCATAGCCAGTTTCTTTCCCCATTGTTGGAACCAATCACCATTTCCTCAGTTGAGCGCCAGATGATCTAGTCTGCCATGTTGTATGGAACAAAACAAAACAATACAATACAAAACATTTTCTAGGCCAGTCACGGTGGCTCACACCTGTAATCCCAGCACTTTGGGTGGCTGAGGTGGGTGGATCACTTGAGGTCAGGAGATCAAGACCAGCATGGCCAACAGGGTAAAACTCCATCTCTACTAAAAATACAAAATGTTAGCCAGGTGTGGTGGTGGGCACCTGTAATCCCAGCTACTCGGGAGGCTGAGGCAGGAGAATCGCTGGAACCTGGGAGGTGGAGGTTGCAGTGAGCAGAGAGTGGGACTTCATCTTAAAATTTTTATTTTTATTTTAAAATAAAAATAATGATTATAACAAAACAAAACAGTTTTTAAACACTAGAACTCTACTCAACACAGGGATGCACCACACAGTGAAAAGTATGAAAGAAATAAGACCACCTAGGAGAAAAACGTGTTTATATCCCTCATCGAACACTTATTCCAGGGCAGGTATGTTCCTTGAGTATGCAGTATTGCCGTATAGTGTGTAAAGTATTTCTTTTCTCTCCTTATCCAAGTAAATGGAACGAAGATACTCACTTCTACTGCATCACGCAGATACTTGTACACATAGCTATTCCTCAAGGCAAAAGAAAATAGGGAGCACAAGTAGCATGCAGTATGATTATTATTCAGTAATAGAGTTCATTTTCTTCAAAATATTCCCCCTATTTAAAAGCTATTTAAGCACACATCAAGGCAATTAATGGCTTTATGCCATCTGTATGTCATGGCACACAGTAAAAAACTAAAGAACTAAAGTTTAGAACTAAAGTATACCCTCCCAGTGGTGGTTAAAACAATTTTTGATTATGGCTACTTTTGTTATGATAGGAGACATAGATTTTGTTATGATAGGAGACAGATTTTGAAATTACCAATCAACTCAAATAATGGGAGGGAAAAACATTTAGGTGCTAAAAACTTTTATTTAATCTGCCCTGTGCTTTCAGGTAATGACTCATAGATCGTTGATCAAGGAATTGATTTCCTAAGTGAGTTGGTGTTTAGGAAGATATATCATATTTATTGCTTTATAGAGGTTAGATTTGCTTGAATTTATTGATATCTGAGTTATTTTCTAAATGTTTGACCACTAAAAGTAATGGGTATCTGCAAGATATTACTGAAATAAAGACACAGCTCAGCAAAGCCTTTATTTGACTTTTTAAAGGAGAAAAATATTGAAAACCGTGGCACAGATGATAATCCTTTAAGAAAATGTTACAGAGTAAGCAGTTATAAAAGGAATTGAGGCCTGAAAATTACTTCATAGGATATAATGTTTTAAAATATTTCTAAACTATTTCAGGAGGCTCTAGAAAACATCTCTCTCCCCCCAACAAAACCTTTTGAAACTGTTTTGTGAGATTAATCATCCATAGATTTCTTTTCTTTTCTTCTTTTCCTGTATCTAAATCTCTAATATGGAGAGTAGGGCTAGTTTTCGGTTGTGGGTTTTTTTTTTTTTATATACAAATGAGGTCTCACTATGTTGTTCACCCAGGTCTTAAACTCCTAAACTCGAGCTATCCTCCTGCCTCAGCCTTCCAAAGTGCTGGGATTACAGGTGT